GCGATATAATAGCTTATATGAATCATATCTTAATTGATAAATAACGTAATTTTAATATCATTTTGGATTTTTTTTAAAAAACTCACTCAATATAATATATAACCATTTAATGGGATGAGTTTTAGTGGAGTTAAAAAGAGGATCTTTATACTTTTTAGTGTTTTGCCGGTGCTGTTAATAATTGAACTCTGGATGGAGGCTATGTTTAGAGAGGAAGCAATATTAGGTTTTGAAATAAATGTATACCGGTTGTTAGTGTTAAATGATCACTTGAGGCCAATACTTTAATTTGTTATTGGAGCTCAGCATCCTATTATCTATATCTAGAAAGAAGTGTCATTGTGGGCTTAGAATTCGAAAACTTAATAGTGTAGATGTTTTAGTTCAAATAAAAATTTAATCACCTTTAGTGTGATCTAATGACTGAAATATACTCACCTAAATATTTTAATTAAAAAAACAGCCAACCTAAAAATAATCAGCTACTGACTGTTTTTATGCAGAATAAATGAGTCATGCTTACACTGGCCGATTCGTATTTCTTGATGCGCCCACAATGATTTGATTATTGAGTTACATTCTTACTTGCAAAATGTGGGCAAGCCCACCTTGTATGAAATATCCATTTTTATATCCAATTAAATGTTGATGCTTCTAAAGTTATTGTGGTCATATCAAGCATGAATAGGCCACATAAAAAAGTAATTTACATATTTTAATGCTCTTATAATACCAGGTCTCATCAATAAATAGGGTGCTCCGAAACCTCTCCAACGATGCGCAACGACGCCTTGGCCTGCCACAATCCGACCATAGTTGCCTTAGTACTGCTGCGGCAATTGCAAGTGTCAATACACTATCTGGGCACCAGGCAGGGGACATTAGTCGCACCATTATCTCTTCTCCCCCACCTTCTCCCTCACATCTGGCCATATCTACAGCTTCCCAACTTGTTGGACCTCATGTTGGATTTCGTGGTGGGCCTACGCCATCGGAATGCATAAGCTCCACAAACGGCCATTCGCAAAGTAATTGTGATGGCTTGTCATCCTCCGGACTGATCTCTGGCTTCTCAGCAAACTGCTCACCTGCCAATTACTTGACGGGCCAAGCAATCAATCATCTCAATGGTTATTCCAATCTGCCTCTCCAAGCCCACACACAAGCCTTCTCATTGCAGCATCAACAGCTGAATGCTCACAGTCAGCATAATCAACAACATCAGCCTTCTATGCTTCCCCACAGCCTGGAATCTCAACAACATCATCAGCATCCTAGACAGTACCAACAACAGGTTACACCATTTTCGTCCATTAATCTACGTTTTCCATCTACGTCGTCTATAGTCTATCCAGCCAGCAGCTCATATGGAAGCAATGGACGATCGAGTGTTTCCGTTTACATGCCGAATACACTCACAAATGACTATCAGTTACCTTCAGTCTATTCTGCAACCAATTCGGATGTGCCCGCCACCTCCATTCATCACTCTCCAACATGTACAGCGCCTGCAGGACAGACTTTACCTCCTTCCCTTATTAGATCGCCAGTAGAAAGCGAGTCAGTTTCGTCTCAGCGATTGCATGCCCCAATGGCCATATCCTCTACAGGCTCTGCCATTTTAGAGCAGTCCAAGCCATCAACAGCATCTGAGCTTCTGTCACTTAACCCTCTTCATGCAGTCTCCGAAGCCAAGCCGGGTGGCTACGCTGCCTCTTCCGCCGGTCAAGACAGTTCGGAAGCCTTGCATTCTACCTCGCCCTCTGACGGGTACAGCACAATCCGACCCGTGACATTGAGTGATTCCGCCAACTCTACGGGATTCTTGCTCAACTCTACCCCCTTTAAGACTACTTTAGAAACAGGCATACAGCATTTTCAGCTGCAACAGCCCACCATTCCGAATACGCGCAACGTACCGGCTTCCAAGTCAGCCAACCCCTCTTCATTCTGTCTGCTGGACCGGCAGGATTATTATCCGGCCAGTGTTAGCTCACCGGGAAGCACCAAACTGACCAGTTTCATCGGACAATGTGTAGCGAGCGAGTCAAGCATTTCCGGCAGTGTCTACTCACTCGGCGGAGAAAGTAGTGAGGACCATGTTTCTAGTTACTACGACGAAAGAGTCCGTTCTAACCCAGTAGAAACCAGCCGAACAGTGGACACTTCTGACTCCATTCATCCTGCCTCATCTGCATCTGACAGTTATCTCGCCAATACTCGCTCATTGACTGGACAGGTTGAGGCCAGGACATATCCAAACTCGCTGCCCATTCAAGCCTCGAACCCGGTTGCGTTGCTATCGGCGGATAACGTAAATTCCACATATACACCAAATTCCAATATTTCTGCCGCTGCGGCAGCAGCAGCCGCCGTGGCTGCGGCAGCCAATCATCTTGTCTACGATAGATTTTCCAGCCTTTTGCATCCAGCCTCATGGTCTTCCTGGTACCAACAGCACCATCAATACCACCAGCAGCAGGTGCAACTGAGAAAATCAGGTTCCCACTCCGAGCACAAGGCTGGCGTCGAGAATTTTACAGATTTTGAGTCAACTGGATTTGGTTTTCAGACCCAAACTCTTCAGCATCAACAACCTCAAACATCCTCTCGGGTAAACAGCTTTCAGGTACCCGACGAAGGAGAGATTCTTCCGGGCACTGTTCTTTTCAGGCGAACTTCAAGGCCTGAATGTTATGCTGATATATCGGGTAATTTGGCTGCGAGCAACTCGTGTGAACGTGAGGCTTACCGGACATATTTAGAGGTAGCACCTACATCAAAGACTAATGTGGATGGTCAACTTGCAAGAATTGAAGGCTCGAACGAGAGCGGCCATGCGTATCATAATGAAACACTGTGCTGTCACGTGAAAACACATTGTTCGGTTAACTCAGGAGGCAAAGACCTGCTTACACGCAAAAAGCTCGAGCCGAAGGAAGATGATCATGAGGCAAATGATGCCCAGGAGGGAGAGAGTGAAGAAGAAAACCAGAATGAAGAAATGATTGAACAATCGGAGAGTGTGATAGAACTTCGAGACGGAGACGAAATGTCGTTGTGCGGCAAACGTCGAAGAGTATTGTCTGATCCGTACTTTAAAGTATTCAATGCAAATGTCACTGCCAAGAGTAGTGTAAATTGTGAACAGGATCATATTAAAGTTGAAAAGATGGGTAAGAAAGTTATTTGTTTTATCCCTTTTGTGTGAGAACAAAAGTAATT